ACGTCTGTGTTTAATCTTTTCCAGGAGGATCCCTAGGATTTGGCTAGGATGTTCCCACATAGAGCGCGATCTCTGGTTCGAATGTAGTTACTCGTCACTCGTTGCTAATTCATGCGGTGCACGAGGAATGCGGACAATGAGAATTATTCTTGTGCTGCGTCATGGATTTCTTATGCTAAGAACGCCTACATAGAAATTAAATTTAGCCCAACTTCTAGGGGAAAATCAAAAATGAATTCTTGAAGCTCAAGAGCTCCTTCAAAAGAGACGTTTTTCCAACCCTTCATGCCGATTAGAAAATGCTTCAGATTCTCGGCTTACGGTAACGCAACGATTATTTCGCTAAACAATAACAATTTGGATAAATCTAATGTCCTGTCCAGATGGTCAAAACAGTACAAATACAAAGGAAAGGATTTTTGTTGACTCACATGTTTATAAAGAAGATAAGTAGCCATTAAAGTAGCATCACAGATGGCGATACATATAAGGAAAAGATTAAATGGAGACCGCCGCATTGCTGGCCTGAAATATTATATTTTCATTGTATATAACGAAGAAATCTTGATAAAAAGTGGTTTTTGACATACCGTAATAGGACAACGACGATGGCGATGTTGGCGAATACTCCTACAACGCATAAGAAAACATATAAGTAGGCATGAATTTCTGAGAATACGTCAGTGAATGGAGCGAGGATCTAAAAGGCATTAATTGGTAAGAAGAAAGCATATAACAATTTTGTACATCAAAAAATTTACATGGTTAAGTTTGCGCGCGAGTTAGAAGAACTGTAGCATACTGTGCCTGGGGAGATTACGGTAACTCCCAGTAAATGACCTTCATCTTTCTTTGATTACATAAAGAGTGGAAAGTTTCAAACAAAATCGGCAATTCATTAGTTTGAACATTGCTTAACAGCTATTTCTAGAATTTTCTATTCATGAAGTTTTGCTAAAAGAAGAAATATGATTCATTACAGCAGCCAAGTACTTATTTCGAAATTCGCGCGCAATTTAAGTGATCATGTTGAGAAGATAGCTACGGAGATTACGGTAACTTTAATTAAAAGTGCAGTTTTTGTTTGAGATTTTGATTACAATACGCTACTTCAACAAAAGTGATATTTTTTATCTTACTCACCCATTTATCTATTTTTCTGTTTATTCATCTATCACACTCGAGATGAGACTCAAAAAGCCAAAAAACCGGAATTTAATGTAAGAAATATCGCTTGTCGGATTGAGAAGATGGAGGCTTAGCAACTAAAGGCAAGTTTTTGCAGCTCAGACGGATCCAGTGATAGAAGTTCAATGCAGAAAATAGAGTCAGCAGGTTTTACATTGCAGTATAATTATTGTTTTGTAATTTATGGAACAATTATTTAGTTTATAGAATTGCTAGTATGTCCCCTGCAAATTTTCTCCTGATAATTCCCCTTAACATAATAATCGAAAATTTTTGTCCGATCTCTGCTCCCGTTGTGAGGGTGCGAGATTCTCGTGGCCAATCAGTGACGATTAATGTCCGCGGGGAGAATGTTCAAGAGGTCTTCCCGTTGTGAGCAAACAATATTACCTCAATTACTCTTATGCTCTTTGCACTCTGAAGAGTGTGACTCTCATTTCTGGGCTAACAAGAAAATTAGATGTCATAATCGAAAAAATTAGCTGATCAATGGGATCAAGATGTCAACCTCTGTTATATCAATGGCTACAGAATATTGAAAAAACCCATATTGCTCCAAAACTGCACTGAATAGACATATAGATCAAAATCACCCTTGTAAAAATTTACAAAGATGAATAGCAAAATTGTATTATTCGTAAGTAATTCATAAATAATTAATTCATATCAAATGTCTTGTCCTGTGGAAGTTAGATCAAAAAAATGCGTTTTCTCAGAATTGAAAATCCATGCAATTGACTGGAAATTGTTTCAGAAATGCCTCTCAAATCTCTTATTGTTCTTAACTCCGTTTTTTCATAAAAAGAAATGGAGCAGAATGTTAGAATAAGAAGGTAAAGTGTTTGAAGCTGAGTTAGAAAACCACTATTGAATACAATAACGCTCATAAAAGTGCAAAATTGGGTTCGCTTCACAATTCATTGATTTCCAAAAAACTGAAATTCTGCGATATTCCGGAATTTCCGCAAAACTTTCGGGTTGTTTGCGTGATATTTCCGGATTCTCGCCGAATATCGAAAAATTTTACTGAACTCCAGGTTTCTTGAAGGCAACATTCACTGAGAGTCTACACGTCTTTGTGCGATACTGTAGAAAATGATTTAAAATTTAGATTTTCCAGTTTTATATTTGTTGCTCAACATCTGTTTCTTTCAATTGATTTTTCATGATAACCGCATACGCGAAATAAATTTTGCTTTCCATGTGTTTTATGTGACGAGGTATTGATTTTTAGAAGGAATTAACCAAATTATAATCATTCCTTTCTCACCAAATCAATGACTTTATTCACCCCAAAATTCAAGGCCAGCTCTTAAACTCGATGCATATTTCTCTCAGATTGTGGGGAACGCCTATGAAAAATATGTTTGCCATAACTTATTGAAGCTCCCATGGGAATCCACAAATTGGCGTCATATTTTTACCCAAAACCTATTGTTCGCTGGATCTGGCAAGCGCTCTTGCACTGAATTCAAAGGAATCAAAACACAAAGTCTTCAGTAAAAATCTGTCCAAAATATCCCTTTTACTAGCATTTCGACTAACAAATGTGTCTGCTTAGCTAGCAGCAAGTACAGAAAGTTGATTGCGTTCGTGTTCTAGAGCTGAGAGGCCTTCAGAAAATCTCTCGGGAAAGGATGAACGATGAGAGTTTTACAAGAAAAAGGTGCCGCTCTTCACTTGATTGAGAACTCCAGGAAAGTCTGAGCTTCTGAGCTTTAGGAAAGTCACGAAAGTTAGGAAAATTTGGCTTGGAGAGAATTTTCTTGCAATACTTGCGAAATATGAGATGTTATTTCTGTCTTTGCGTCAAGTGCTCATCCATATATGGGCATAGGACGATACATTACCTCAGTTGTCACAACCTATCCATCATAACTAAGGTAATTTGTGCAATAGTTTGTTTCCAAAAACAGCCTAAGAATTCAGTGTCCTCCTCCATATGAGGCTATTTTTTGCCAAGATAAAATTCACTGAGAGGATTTCTGTTCACTTTGGATTAGTGATTCTAGCCATAACTATAGATAAAGACGTAGCATTCAGATGAGATGTTTTAGCATTTAGACAGTGTTTAGAAGCGACAACAATCGGATAATCTAGGCAGAAGTGATCAGAAATGAATTTAGAGATGAAGACAGGAATATGAATGCATTCCTGTACCGACAGTTATGCGGAAAAATTTCAACGCACCAAAATGCTTGGAATTACGTAGACCCCCTCCCCCCTTCATGGTCAAAGTTTAGAAATTTCGAATGTTTGCATGAAACAGCGGATTTTTGCAAAATTGTACAAACTCTACAAATTCTACAAAATTCTATTGTACATATTCCTAAACGCCAAATTTTTCCAGTGTGCATTTCATTTCATTTCATTGCATTTTTGTATTGAAATATATTGAATTGTCGTCAAAGCTGAACCTTGAGATATTTTGACCAATGGGAAATCTATAGGCAAACACATTTTTCCACATACAGTAAACTTGAAAGCATACAGCTTACAGAAAAATCAGAAAATTATTTAGGGCTTGAAATACCTACGCAGTACTGTAATAATCAAGGTAGCTTCCCTTAAACACTAAATTTTGTCTGTAGAAAATAAATTTTCGAAATTTTTTTTGTAGTTTTGAACAGTCTTACGTAACCTAAAGGCTGCTTTTTGTCTTTATGTTCAAATAATCAAATAGGTAGATGTTTTCAAAATTAATCATTCGCTTCAGAATTGAATGAAATTTGAAAAACTTCTCATTGCACTAGGTGATCGGTCTAACTTGAGGCTGATAAAATAACTGTACAAATCTTTCCGGATGTTTCTGCCACAGGAAATTTCTTATTCTTCACAAATCCCTGCTGCTTCCTTCAACTCCAGCTTTAGCTCGGGATTATAGTCTGGGAGAGAAAGATTTATGGGTAATCTCGGAGGGATGAGCTCCACGCAAAACTTGGTTGGGCTGGAGATTATTCACTTAGTCGGATGAGAAGCTTTCAGCAAAAATGTCGAAATCAGCATGATTTCATTTCTAGGCCATTCGTAAGGGAATTAATTTTTCAGGTTTATGTTATATGTTCTCGTAAAAAAACATTGATTAGAGCAGGTTTTTGACCCCTAATTTTGCGCATATGCAATCACCGCTCTGGAACCATAATCAGATGCATCTCAAAGTTTTCGGGTCTTCTCCCTCAAACCCAAAATCTTTTCAAACGATCATAGAACACTGGTGAACTACGT